TCTGAGCTGGTTGCTCTTTGGAGGACAACAAATGACTCTCCTGTAATATGAATTCCCTGAACCCTTTCCATCTAGATGCAGGTTTAAATGTGTGTAAATAATCTATATTTCATAAAGACAATGCGGTCTCTGCTGTGTCTAATTTCTGATGGAAACACAAACCCTACATGAGTGCCCGGAACCCCCTGGAATCTTTCTACCACTTGGCGGTGATTGGGTGTGGCATGTAACCATACCATCCCTTCTTCAATTGGTACATCACAAGAGACTAAAAGGCATATCTAATAGTCTATGACGCGGGTGGTGCTGTGGGTAAAAGCCTCAGCGCCTAGGACTTGCCGATCGAAAGGTCGGCGGTTCGAATCCCTGCGGCGGGGTGCGCTCCCGCTGCTCGGTCCCAGCGCCTGCCAACCTAGCAGTTCGAAAGCACCCCCGGGTGCAAGTAGATAAATAGGAACCGCTTACTAGTGGGAAGGTAAACGGCGTTCCGTGTGCTGTGCTGGCTCGCCAGATGCAGCTTGTCACGCTGGCCACGTGACCCGGAAGTGTCTTCGGACAGTGCTGGCCCCCAGCCTATAGAGTGAGATGGGCGCACAACCCTAGAGTCTGGCAAGACTCTCCCTAGAGTCTGTCAAGACGGGCAGGGGTACCTTTACCTTTACTAATAGTCTATACATGACAGCCACTAAAACTGTTTGTTCCATTAAGGAATTATGGTCTGCCTACTGTTGGATGTATCTTCTCACAGCAGTCAAGTACCCCATTAAGATGAGACATTATCAAGACATGATAGCAAGAGAGGCACTTGTTGACACTATGTCGCTAAACAATGTAATAGCTACTTAGTAAGCACACATTGTTCTTAAATAAAATAGTTATTGGCTACTCCTTGAGAAATGCTTTAATTTTAACCATTAGGACATTCAAGAATGTAAGTTATACTGCATGTAGTTAACACACACACCTTTCTTTGGGTCAATGTGGTTCCTGTTTCATGGAAATAATCAAGATATCCCAGTCAAATTTATTCCGGTTAGAAATGTCATTTTAGTGAGAGAAAATAAGCCAGATTTTCATGGTGGCTGGGTGGGGGAAAGTATTCATCTATCAAATGACACTTACCAAAGCAGAACGTTCAGTCTACCTGAATATTGGTACATCTGAGTATTTCATTTCAACATAGAGCCAAAATGAATGTTGAAATGTTGGCATTTCCTATGGGATGAAATTTCCATTTATGGAGCTGTGTTAATATTCTGCATATGTTATATTGGAAATTGTCTGACATTTCCTTTTCTTTTTCTTTTGGTAGGGAACATCCCTCTGGCAGCAAAGGAAACTTGTTAAGAGACCTTTTTTGTATGTATAAGATTAGCATGTACTGATTCAAATATCAGGGACTGTAATAATTTTTGTTAAATATCTCATAGCATGATGTTTGGACATGCTGACATCTTTCAGAACATAAGGGAGAAGTTATTTCTGTTACATCACCAAGGGAATATATAATCTATGGATGGCAGGATGAACTCCAGAGTGGAGAGATGAATGTCAGTAGTGACAGTGGAAGAAAGGAAAAACAAGAATTTGTGTTTCAGGAAGCAAGATGGAGATAGGATGGAGAAGGAAAAGCCTAAAAAGAAAAGGGCAAAAAGCTAGGCTATAGACAAGACTTGCCACTCTGACTTAGGACATGCCATGGGAAGAAGGAAAAGATGATTCCAGAGCTAGCCAACCCAGTGACAAATCATGGAGGGGAAGGGTTAATTGAAGATCTGTTCAACAGTGGAATGGACTCTCTCGGGTTGTTGTGGACTCTCCTTCTTTGGAGATTTTAAAGCAGAGGTTGGATGGTCCTCTGTCATTGATGTTTTAGCTGAGTTTCCTGCATTGCAGGGGGTTATACTAGATTACCCTCAGGGTCCCTTCCAACTCTATGATTCTATGAAGGAATAGAGGATTAATGGGGAAACAAGACTGTTTAAATAAACAGATCTCAGGAGGGCTCTGAGAATAAGAAAAGCTCAGAATTCATCCAAGTGGAGAGCTTACAAGGTGGTTTCTAATAGCAAGAGAACCCTGAGGCTCTGAAGACTCCTGTGATCTATAGTGGGAAAGTGGAAGATTTCACAATGTTGAATATAATGCAGAAGAAAACATTTCTATAATCAGCCAGTGTTAGGGATTGAATTTTCTGAAAATCATAATGTCAGACTTATCTGTACAGTATCCCCCCTCCCTTCTAAATCCCATTTCACTCCTTGATCTTGATGAGACTTGAGCTATTGGCTTTATTGGTTCCATTACAAATACCATCATTTATTTCATATTATATGCATTATTATGCACTTAATGATGGTGAGGATTCCAGTTTGGTCCACGTTTTGGAGAGCACATATTCATTTCACCAGTCTTGGATTACTGTGCAGATCAGGATGTTGAACTGTAGATCAAGCTGCACACTTGACAAACAGATCTTGAAAAAAACAAATGGCAAGGAAAAAATGCAGAAAAATAGACTTGACTTTAAATTAGGCCATTCCGCATGTGCATTTTACTTTGTCCCTCTCCAGGTGCTTCACCAAACTTTAGCTCCTGAGAAAATGGAACTAGCAACCATTAACAAAATAGAAAAAAACCAAAAATGCTTCAGACTCCATGAGGACAATAAGAGCCAATGCTCCAGTTTAGGCTTCTGAGAGACTATTCAGAGCATCAGTTACCATATGTCTTTGTAGTGCTACTGATTCTCCTCCCTGCACACAAAGAGGACAGTTTCATAAAATGAAAGCATATTTTGGAGTTGGCAAAAATTGAATTGCCGTGATCTTCATTTCAAAAGTGCTACTCTGAAACATGCCTCTGTTTCTAATAAAACAAAATTGCATTGCTATGTGAAAGTTCAAGTCTGAAACACTGCAACCCAGGTCTCGTTCAAGCGCAGCTCACCACAGATTGCTTTCAAAACCCAGAACAAAAATACTTTTCAGAATCATTACATGGTTCATGCAGCATGTAAAGTGGGAAATGAGTATTTTTAAAAACTCAAACATCCATGCCTAGAAATATGTCAATTTAGTACAAATGTTCTGTTGGGTAAGTACATTTTCATCTATTTCTGTGAAACAAATACCTTCAGCTATTGTTCATGTTGAAATCTGCCAAAAAGAACCCTATCATCCAAGCTCTCGGGGTTCACCTGTACTGAATGCAATAAAGGAACACCACTGCAAAAGAGAAGAAAATGAAAAAGTGCCTCCGTCTAGCAGAGTATAATGGGCAAATGAATTGCAGTTAGAGCCACTGGGGTGGGGGGGGGGAGGCAGGCAACTCAGGAATGGGACATGTGGATACACACCATGCTGATTCCTATCCCACCCTTCCTATGTAGCAATGTGAGATTAACTAGATACCAGCTATGTGGCCAAACAGGAATGTTCTCCATATATGCCAGTTAGCTGGGATGTATGTTGCTGCTAATTATTGCATTTGTTAGCTGCGTTTCACACTACTGTATACTGCAGGCCATGGAAAGAATAGTCAGATGGGGTGCTGTGATTATCAGGTTAATTTGATTTGGTCTCTTTCAGCAGGAAATGAAGCAGGTACGAAGGAGATTTGATTCCATCTCAAAGCCATTGCCTGCAGCCCACTAATTTTATGCAACACCTTCTGCCTCTCCCTGTAATCATTTAGACAGTGAGGAAATGAGGCCGTGCCTGTAGCCTTCTTTCCCCAGCTGCTCATGTTATGTGGCTTTTGATAGTGGCCTCCATTTTGTCCTCAGAATTCAGCCAAAGATGGGTTTGGCTGAAGTGGATGTACATAGGAAATGACACTCCTCGCCCTGCTTTGGTTTTATAATATCACCAACCTTGTAATTAATTTCTCTATGCTTGGCCTTCTGACTAGGGAGGTCATGAGGATCCAATAAGTTATTTCCTCCTCAGGAAGCTAGCTTGCAAAAATGGTTATTTTTGTTATGGTTGGAGCACTCCCCAATCAGCACCCCATGGAAACAACCACCCATCCCCAACTTGGACAGCCACTCCAGAGGGACCCCGACTGAAATGGATCTAGAAAATCAGTTTCCTTCCAAAGTGCCGGAGAATCTGGTTTGCGGCCACCTGCTCAAGAACCTTGCCCAAGAAGGGGCAAGTGAGATAATGAGAAAATTGATTTATAAACAAAACGACACTATGCTATAGGACTCCAGAGATAGGATCCCTCAACCAGTTCAGAATTGCAAAACACAACAACAACGAAAAATGACACTTCCAGGATAAGCTAAAAACCTCAAGTGACATAACTTGTTCTCAAAAGGCAAATCCATTCATCCATTCATTCTCCTAGGTCAACCTTCTAGATTGACTACCAGCATCCTTCTAGTTTAACTACCTACGGTATATCTTTGTTTGAATACCTGCTCGAATCTACCAATCACTAGAAGTTTCCCAGATTTTACTCAATCCCTTTTTGTTCTGATGCCTTCTCATTGGTCATTTTTTTTCAATTCCCCTTTACACACTTTTGGATTCCGTACCAATCTTTCAAAGATCAGGTTTTAATTTTATTTTGGTTTCTTCTTTGCTTGCTCTCCTCTCCCTGAGCACCCCTTGCAAGACTCTTTCAATATTATCTCTACTCACCCCATCCAGGCAATATCCTAGTGCACGCCAGGAACATGCTTAACGTGCCTCTAGACTTCAGGCTTGGTGAAGGATCAAGGTCTGTGATCTTCTTTTAACAAATATTTGAAATTACTGTGGGCATAGACGTCTAAGCTCAGTGCCTGGGCCCCAGCTTTGTATACCTACTTACAAGTAGGTCTCATTGAATTTCGTGATTAATTCTTTTCTAATATAGGACTGGGGTGTGAATTAACTTCCCAATTTTCCATTTCTTGAACCTGTGTAACAGAAACACTTTGCATTTTTGCTAAATGATAAATTCGCCTCTGTGCTTTTACGCTACAGTCATTTACAATGTGGTCCACTTACAATTATGACATGTTGTTCCTGTGTAGCCAGTTTCACCACAATCACAATGGAATGTTGTCCAGGATTGGGAGCATTCTCCTCCATGTTCACAGTAGTCTGGTAGACACCTGGGTGAGGAGGGTGAGAAAGGACAGTTCAGCAAGAGCAACAACAAAGGTATTAGTTGCTTTTAACCAGATTACATATGCAATGAAATGTGCAACATATTGCCCTTTGCATAACTTTTCCTAACCCACTATGTTTCCTATGACTACAAACATTGGTGCATAGATGGAAACCATTCCTAGGTTTTCTGCTTAGCTTGAAACAAAGGTGTTCAAAAGAATAGCTTGCACTGAACAGAATGAATTCAAAATCAAGTCAAAATTAACACCAAAAAGAGGATAACTTTGTGTTCTTTCTGTGTCTAAAGGTACCCCTGCCCTTACGGGCCAGTCGTGTCCGACTCTAGGGTTGTGCGCCCATCTCACTTAAGAGGCCGGGGGCCAGCGCTGTCCGCAGACACTTCTGGGTCACGTGGCCAGTGTGACGAAGCTGCTCTGGCGAGCCGGCACCAGTGCAGCACACGGAAACACCGTTTACCTTCCCGCTGGTAAGCGGTCCCTATTTATCTACTTGCACCTGGGGGTGCTTTCGAACTGCTAGGTTGGCAAGCGCTGGGACTGAGCAACGGGAGTGCACCCCGCCGCGGGGATTCGAACCGCCGACCTGATGATCAACAAGTCCTAGGCGCTGAGGTTTTACCCACAGCGCCACCCGCGTCCCATCTGTGTCTAGGCAACATAAATTGTATGTTTTATTCTGGCCTCCAATAAGGAGTAGTAATGTAAGATGAACAGAGATGCAAAACTTTCATCTTGTTTTCCTGTTTGCATTGACATTTCAGGTGCTAAACTGAGTATCTGGCTATAGTAGGTTCAAGGATATATGAGTAAAGAGAGCTATTAAAAATAAAAATAAAAAGAGAACGGGTTGTGAATAATATACTTTATGCTCTCCCCCTCCAGAGCTCTGATACCAAGTACTAGTGAAATGAAGAAAGCAACATGAACTGCAGTAAAGCACAGGAAGTCAACAGAAGTGGGAACAGTGGGTGGTGGACCCAACCTGAGAGCTCATTTCAAAGCCTTAGTTATGCAGACATAAATGCAGAATCAGCTTTGCTGGTACTCTTGAGGGCTAGGTTCCCCCTCAGAATAGAACTTAAAGCAGATTTCTCCCAGTTACTACACTTTAAATATTTATGAAATTTTATTGGGACAAAGAAAAAGGCTGTTTGGAGTTTTTCAGACTCTGGCTCACTCACTTGGGAGGAAGATCCAGTCTGAACTCCTGGCATCATTCCCATGTTAAAATGATATCACGTGACTCTGGGCCCTGGTGATTAAGATCCTCTCCTGGAACATAGCAGGCTGGAGGGAAAAGGCTAATGACCCTGAAGATATTTGTTTTATCAAGTCATTTGACATCATCTTATCACAAGAAACCTGGGCTCACTATGAAATAAACTTGGAGGAATTCAATTCGTACTCCCTCCTAGCTCATAAATCCAACATCATGGGCCGATATAAAGTGGGACTAACCCTTCTCTGCACTCGGCAGCCTAATCTTGAAATCATTTCCCTCCAGCCACATGACAACATTGCCCAGGCATTCTTATTGAGATATTCAAACTTGGTTCTAATTATAATCAATGTTTATATCCCCCCTTGTCCTGACAAACAGACATTGATGGGCTATTGGAACCAATTCACATCATTTTTGGAAAATCTGGAGACCAAATTCCCCAACATTGATCTGCTAATTGCAGGTGATTTCAATGCAAGAGTGGATAAAGACAATTTTGAGCTTGCAAGAGAGATGGGTTTCAACAATGAGGATCCCCTGCCCAAGCTTCTCTCTGTCATGTGACATTCCAGAGACACCCATATAAATGAAGCTGGAGTTTGCCTTGCCAAGTTGTGTGTGCATTTCAACAGAGTGATCCTGAATGGTTCATTACCAGGTGACCTGCTAGGAGAGTTCACGTTCATCTCCAGGAGAGGAAATAGAGTGATCGACTACATCTTAGGCTCCTCTGCTCTGACAAACCAGGTTTAAACCTTTCAGGTGGGAGACCGCATTGAGAGCAATCACCTTCCTGTGATTCTAACTATTAATTCCCCTTCCCCATGCATCCTCTTCAAGAACCCCCTGCCAACAGAACTGATCCAGCTCGAGCCATGAACTTTATGGTGAGCAACCGCACCCCTGGTGATTATTTATCTTTGACTCTGGCCACCAAATTTAACAATCCTGTGCTCACATCTGCACTGCCTCTGACTCCTGATGCAAGCAAAGATTTCCTGCTTAGAGTCCCTTGGACCACAGACTCACTTCACAAACTGTTCCAAACAGAGTTCATGTTGGAACACAGAGCTTCTATAATTAACTTGGTAATCCCCCAAGAAGCTATTGAATGATTTGAAATCCTAATAACATCTCTGAATGAGTTTTCAAAACAACAATTCAAAGTGTGAAAACAACCCTAGGAGCCCTTTGCTGTGATCTGGTTTGATAAGGAATGCAGCGATCTCAAAGAACACATCCAGAATATCTTCCGACAACACCATAAGGAAAAAGCCACTGCCCTACCCCCAGAATATTTCAAGTCTAAAAACTTACCGCAGCATCTTATTTTGAAAAAAGAGGTTGAATCTTATTTTGAAAAAAGAGATCTGAACATACCAACAAACAATGGAAACATCTCCACTATGCCATAACCTCAAACAATGAAAGTTGATTCTCGTCCTTAGTTTCTGGGGCATTTAACATCAATCTCCTCTCCACCTATTTCGCCTAATGGTTGGTACCACTACTTTTCAAGTGCCTTGCATGAAGATATTTCCAGTGGGACAGCTTGTCATCATTCTATGCAAATTGATGCCCCAGAGTGGCCTCCAGTTTCATCAGATGAAATAAAAATGTTAATAGGGCAGTTAAAGCAAGGGGAAGCTGCTGGCCCAGATAGGATAGGTCCCAATGTTCCCCATTGAGGTTGGGAATTCCACCCTTGTTTGGCCAGGACACTCCATATTTACACCAGCTTTATGATCCCCACCTACACAGAGCTCTTTCCCTCGCAAGATTTAACGTCTTACCGTCTGCAGTTTTGCAAGGTATATTCTCAAAAATCCCATACTCTGAAAGATACTGCCCTTGTGGCACAAAACAGGTTGAATCCATCACACACGTTCTATTTTATCGCCCATTTTATGCAATAATAATAATAATAATAATAATAATAATATGATAAGTATTTGGCCCTCTTATTGAAGGTGGGGATTAATCGCACTGACTCTTCCAGGGTGTCTCATGTGTTGAACAATTGTAGTAATGGCGTTGTGGAGAATGTGGCAAGATTTTTGAGTGATGCTATGAAATTATGTCACCATAGGTCCTAAGGGCCATCTTCGTACCTCATGATGTCTGGACAGTTTTATCCTAAAGTATCTCGTACTATATTTCATTAATTGTGTTGTGTTCTGATCCATGTACACAATGCACTTTTTTAAATGCCAATAAAGGAGATTGATTGATGATTGAATGTTATCAGAGTAGCAAGGATGAAGTGCTACTGTTCACAGTAGATTGTACTGAGCTACATGGAGCTATGTTTGGTTTCCATGAAAAACAACTTTGTAATTTGTCCTGCAGTATTTTTCACTGCCCCCTGCAGTCCCTTTTCTCTCCCCACCCCATTCATTTTCACAATGTAGGTTGAAATCTTTTTTTTTTAAATGCCCTTAAGAGGATTTAACTTATTTTGTTTATTCAGAAACAAGCTGACTTTGCTTATGATTTTAGTCAGATAACTAACACTTCTTTTTTAAAAAAAGGAATTATGTGCTATGTGATTCTACTGAGGGACGCAGTACTATAGTTAGCATTGTGAGGTTATTGTATCTAATTAGCTAACAATTATTTGTCTAATTACCTCATAATTATTTATCAGAATTAGCCTAGCAGAGATATTATCCACACTAAACATATAATCAAGGGCTTGATATCCTGTCGTGCATTTGCTTTCACCACCTTTACTGTGTGTTACTCATGCAGAAACAGGGCCAACTCCACATATTTTTCTGCCTAAGCCAAAGGACAAGATGGTGTATATCCACTCCACCCAAAATTCATGTGCAGAAGCCTAAAAGCCTGACAACTGAATTTTTCTTCTCACTAGCTTAGGAGGTGCAGGTCAGGAATACACAGCTCTATCCAATCCCTGCCTCTCATCATCTGCCACCTGAGGCTGCTACCGAATGGTAGTGCTGGCCCTGCCCAGAAATATAGCTTTGTTTAAAGCTATAGTTAAAGTACAATTCCACACCTTGACAGGGAAAACTTTGATTATAAGTGAGGTGAATAAGGATTTATTTATTTGCATTGTTGAAAGGCATAACCCACAGTTGATATGTATCTCACTCTGTGTAGAATACATATTACATGTGTGTGTGTGTGTGTGTGTGTGTGTGTGTATAGTCATTGGTTTTGTGACCGCTTGATCCTTAGAAAAAATGACCTATACAAAAATAGTAAATCCAGATAAGTTTCTTATCTGGCAGGGCCAATAGGTTTGGAATACAAGTTATCACACACACACACACACACACACACACACACATATATATACGAGATAACTTGTATTCCAAAACTTTTAGCCCTGCCTGATAAGAAATTTATCTAGATGTACTGTTTCAGTATAGGTCATTTATATCCCCTGTGAATAAAATTAATAAAAATTATCTCACACAACACATATTGTATCAATTTATGTGTGTGATAGTGACAGCACAAACATGCTTGGGTTTTCAACCCCTCCACAGTGGCCTTGTAACAATACACTGTTGTGCCTCACTGTCATTATCAGCAGTACTGTGTTATAGAGAAGTGTCTTGATGAAATTGCCTTTGTCTCAAATTACTTGTATCTTAGATTCTCTTTCTATACATTCTGCTTTCAGGCAGGAACTAGCTGCTGCAGGCATCGTCACCTCCTGGACACAGGCATCTAAGCTATGTCCAAGGACAAGTCCAAAGAGACAAAATGTGGATACTGGACTGTAGTT